CCCCCCCCCCCAGGGGTCCTGACCCCCAGATTGAGAAACGCTGGTCTAAAGCATATCCTCCTTTTCCAGACCCTGGATTGGCTGCAGAAAAGGCTACAAACCCTTTTTTAAAAATTAAAGAAACATTGAGTCTGTCATTAGAATTAAACTGAAAGTCTTTTTTTTTTTTTTAGATTGGCAGAGGAATATGCATTCACTTTCCTGACCAGTTTTTTGTATATTTTCCAGACCAGCCTATGGAGGCCGTCATTGCCCAGGTGCAACCTATGAATATCAGGTTTGCAATACAGAAGATTGCCGGGGTCCCTATGAGGATTTTCGGGCCCAGCAATGTTCCAAGCGAAATTCCTATTACACCCACCAAAGCTCGAAGCACACTTGGCTTCCTTATGAACACCACGATGGTAAGTTACCAAGACATTTAGAATACAGGATTTTTTTAATGGGCCCAGAGCATACGGCTCCTTCTACACTGACATATAAAACCCAGATTATTTGCTTTGAACTGGATTATATTGGTCTACACTGCCATATAATCCAGTTCAAATCAGATAATCTGGATTTTATATGGTCATGTAGAAGGGGCTTTAATTTGTGCCAAAGGGACTACAGTATATGACTTATGATTTGTTAGGGTCCTGCTTCCATCAACCACAACCAGCATGTCCAGTGGTCTGGATTGATGGGAGCTATAGTCCAACATGGGTAGGGCTGCAACTTTTCTGGTCCTGGCAGATAGATTGAGTTGAACATTCTGTATTGACAAAAGTTTTAGTATCTCATCAGAAATTATGGGCATGAACTCCTAAGCAGTTAAGATTCTCCACAGTAGTTAAATAGCTAAAATATGGTACATATCTCGTTGAAATCATACATCCAATGTCAGCTCTTAGTTGGCTTAAAGGGGAGTTCAGGCTTGACTTTCTTGAGGGCCCAATCAACAATATCCATAGAACTGTTCTCTGATACAACATTTCAGATGAGTTGATCTTTTTCGTATCCGCTTTTTTCACTGTCCAGCTTTCACAATTATACAAAAACTGGGGAATATAATGACATGGACAATCCTAACTTCAGTATTCAATTATATATCTTTACACTTCAGGATCTTGTTTAGCTGCTTTTCCAAGTCCTAGTTTTCTTCTTTTTTGACTGCAGTTTCCATTCTTATTAATACCAGAGTGTTCACAGTAACCTTATATAAAGAATAGTAGTGTACACAATGAAATTGACATGTGTTCATGCTAAGTAATTCTGAGTGATTTGACCTGGCATCACATATTACTCCTACTGTTATGTGATACACTGCATGCCCTTTTAGATATTTGCCCTGAAGGCATAGAAAAGGTGCTATTATATATGACTTTGGAGTAGTGGTGAGTGCAGATCTGTTCCTAGATCATGCATTGAAATCAGTATATAATCTAGGAACAGATCTGCGCCCACCACAGATCTTCCCCATTGGTTTGTAATAATAATACAATAATACACTGTATTTATATTCTGCTTTATCTCCCTGGAAGGACTCAGAGCAGATTACAGTTATACACATATGAGGCAAACATTCACCCAGTGAACAACCACATACAACACAGACAAAGATGTTCTTCCCCTTTTTCTATCTCTGGCGTCTGGAGGTGATGCTCAACTCCGGCCATGGGAGGTGCTCTTGTTCAATTTTTCCATGCCTGTTGTCCATAGATAACTCTGATTGTGTTGCTGGTATGTCTGCATATTTGCATGTGGTTCTCTTTTGCCTTCCCGCCGAGGCGATACCTATCGATCCACTCACATTGCATGCTTTCAAACCACTAGGTTGACAGAAGCTGGGCTGACAATTGGGAGCTCACCCCAACTCACAGCTTTGAACTCCCAACCTTCTGGTCAGCGGATATTCTGCAGCTAGTGGTTTAACCCCTGAACTATCACGGCCCTAAACAATGATTGATGTACAACATAATAATAAAAATAAAATAATAATAATAATAATAATCTTTATTTATACCCCGCCACCATCTCCCCCAACGGGGATTCGGGGTGGCTTACATGGTTGTATAGTACACAATGGATATGTTAATGCATGAATAAAGCTATAGAAAATTCTCAGTATATAGAATAAAAATAAAATAAAATGAATTGACAAATTCATTTAATTTATGAAGCAGTTTTTCATAATTATGGTTCTATGATTTTGGTTTTCAAGCAGGGGAAATTTGAGGTGATTACTTTTTCTGACAATAAAAAACAACAACACGAAGCCTTTTAGAAGTATTTCTCAATAGTATGAAATCCAGAAACTAAATTTTTCCTCCTCAGAACACTGACCATGAAAATGCGGAGTCCCATTTTTGTCTCAAATATCAATAAACAGAACATTTTCTTCTATTTTTTTGTTTTCCTGCAGATGCCCAGAAATGCGAGCTGATTTGCCAGTCTGAGGAGACTGGAGATGTGGTATTTATGAATCAAGTCGTTCACGATGGCACCAGGTGCAGCTATAGAGACCCATACAGTGTTTGTGTGAGGGGGGAGTGTGTGGTATGTAAACGAACCTTTAGGTTCATCCATTTTTAATTTTTTTCGAAGCAGAAAGGAGATGTCTTTCAAGATGCTGATAGAACCTAATTGACTGTTGTAGCCTTTACTTTTTTAAAATTGACGCTCTGAGATGTGCTGGAGCTCATAAGCGCTGGTGCAGATATCTGAATGTGCACACAAGCAGATTTCTTGTCATTATCTCTCCTCACCCTCTTGCTGCCTTTACTTTTTCCCTCTGAACCCCATTTTCCTTTGGGATCACTTCCCTGACATGCTGATGTTCACTGTATAAATTCAAGCTCTGTTTAATTTCATAAACATAGAACAAAGGAATGGTTGTAGGGAGTTTCCATGGGAGCTGCTTTCCATCTGTGATTCTATTTAGCCACCTGTATGTCCGTGGCACCATTTGTTTACAGCTGTTTCAGGATTATAAAATGCCCACATGCACTGGAGCAGTCCACCCTAGTGTATCACAAGGAAGTCCTGTGTTTTTCTTGAGTGGAGTGATGCAAATATGCACATTTTTCGGATGAAATCGGATTTTAAGCACACATGTTTTGCGGTCATTAATGCAATCCAGTGTACATTTTAAGCAAACGTCATTTAGCCCCCCCCCCCCCCCCCCACTTTTATTCTGGTTTAGTCTGCACTTTAGGGCCTGTGTAGAAGGGCCCCAAGAGAGTTGGAAAAAAATATATTTTCATCCCCAATAGAGTAAGTCTTTCTCATTCTTTTTCTAGCCATTTTGCAGACAAGAATACAATCCCTGTGGGAATGCATTTGTCCATGGCTTCCCAAAAAGTTCATGACTGAATTAATGGGTCGACATTGCTCCTTCAAAAACCAAGACCCAAGGCCATCCAACCACATTGGCTTTTTGTCTGTGGCGGCAGTTAATTCGCACCACATACACTATAATTGTGGTAATGGTCATCTGCTTTGCCATTTTAATACTTTTAGCAGGCTGTTGATGAACCAGAACTGCGATTGCTAGAAGAAATGAATACAAGAGATACCGGGGAAGAATAAGGATTATGTTTTGATTTTAAAGTAAAAATAAAAAAAGTTTAAATGACCACTGAAGAGAAGATGGAAGTCAACAAACTTTTTTTCTTTTTCTTTTTTCTCTTCCTCACAATTTTTAACTTCTGTTCTCTACCAATGTTTCCTCTTTTTTCTAAACAATTATTTTGTTTTCCCACTTGCATTGTATAAGAACAAGTAGTTTTTTCCCTTTTTCTTTTTGTCATTGGTGCCTGGTTAAATTCTGCTAATAAAAATTATTTCAAAATATATATATAAAGAAATGAACACTCTAATTTATTTATTTATTTTTTTACATCATTTTTACCCCGCTCTTCTCACCCCTGCAGGGGGACTCAGAACGACTCACAACGGCAACGATTCAATGCCGCAAAACTTACAATTATAAAAGCAGAATAAAATCATACCATACAGCACATTAAAACAACATTAATTAACAATCATAAAAACATTTCCATTATAACAATCGTCATCTGGTCCAATTCACTGTTCAGGTGCCGTTATATCCATTAGCCAAAAGCCTGGCTCCACAACCACGTCTTCAGTTTTCTTCTGAAAGAAAGGAGGGAGGGTGCTGATCTAATTTTGCTGGGGAGTGAATTCCACAGGCGCGGGGGGTCACCACCGAGAAGGCCCTGTCCCTCGTTCCCACCAGTCGTGTTTGCGAAGTTGGTGGGACCGAGAGCAGGTCCTCCCAACAGATCTTAAACTACAAGGTGGAACGTAGAGGGAGATACATTCAGACAAGTAAGCTGGGCTGGAGTCATATAGGGCTTTATAGGCCAAGACCAGCACTTTGAATTCTGCTCGGAAATGGACCGGCAGCCAGTGGAGTTGATGTAACAGGGAGTGGTATGCTCCCTGTACGATGCTCCAGTGAGCAATCTGGCTGCTGCCCATTGGACTAGTTGCAGTTTCCGAACCCCAGGTAGAGTGCATTGCAGTAATCTATTTGGGATGTAACCAGAGCATGGACCACCGTGGCCAGGATAATAGAAAGATCTTAATTTTAAGGATTATTTTCTATTTGATAGTCTGATAATATGCTCCTACCCAGTTGTAAACATTATTGAAGTATACTCGTATATGATGTGTGCATATCTGACAGTATTGTTAAACATTTTGTTTCATCTTTTGTAGTGTTAGGGCCCTTCTACACTGCCATATTATCTGGATTATCAAAGCAGATAATCCACATTTGTTTTGAACGGGATTATCTGAGTCTACACTGCCATATAATCTAGTTCAAAGCAGATAATCTGGATTTTATATGGCAGTGTAGAAGGGGCCTCTATATTTTCTTTCCAAAGTCAAGACTGCCAGGTGGTGATTAAATGTCATATTTGGTTTCAGGCATGGGTCTTAGTGTATCAAGGAGACTTGACTGATTAGTATCAGGGCTTCCATAAATGCATGAAAAAGAATAGTCCTGAACTGGGTTGTTGTAGGTTTTTCCGGACTATATGGCCATGTTCTAGAGGCATTTTCTCCTGACGTTTCGCCTG